ACATTTAGTAGGAATTCATACTTTTTTAAATAGAAATATTAAGTGATTATGAATGTACTGCCCCAGGCCACATTAGGGATATTATGTAATATGTGGTATATGTACCAAATTACCTTTCTAATACCTGAAAAATTCCAAATTCTAAAACTACCTGGCCCAAAGGATTTCATATAAGGAACTGTGAACCCATAATAATAGTTAATACTGCAAACTTGGTACTGTTCTGAGTACTGGCACTGTTCTTAGTTCATTTAATCCTTAGAACAATACCCATAAGGGTAAATACTGTTATCTCATAGATGAAGAAATAGGCCTAGAGAGGCTGAGATAGTTGTCCAAGGTCACAGAGCTAGAAAGTGGTAGAAGTGGGATTTAAATTCAGGCAATCTAGCTCCAGACTAGAATTTAATCTTTCCACTTGTACTTAGCATTTGATATTAGACACCTTTCATGTCATCATACAGTCTACCTCAGTCCTTTGTAATTCCCGCATGCTGGTTTCCTATGCGAGTATACCATAATGTATCTTTTCCCCTACTGGTATACTTTTAGGTTTTTCTTTTCAGAGGCTAACATAAATAATGCTGCAATGAATGTTCTTGCATGTTATAGTCTTGTATAGTTAGGCAAAATTACTTCATTTTAAAATATTCATGCCCATGTAAAAATATTTTACTACTTAGATGATTCACTATGGAGTGCTTAAAAACTATCAGTATGCCATAACTTCCCTCAACAACCATTTTAACATAAAGTTTAAGGAGATGTTTATAGTCTACAAATTATTTTTATTAACATACATTTTCTTATGGCAGCTGGTTGAAAGACTGGAAAAGAAGAGCTGAATTGGAAGAAAGACAAAATTTGAAGGGAAAAAGAGATGAGAAACAGGAAGGTATTTTGAGTCATTTTTTTTCCTTTCACCGAACATTTTTAGAGTTAGATTAGCTAAAAATTTTTATAAAATTTCTTAATTGGACCAGGCCCAGCAGCCTGTAATCCCAGCTATTCTGCAGGCTGAGACAGGAGGATCGCTTGAGGTCAGGAATTTAAGACCAGCCTGGGCAGCATAGCAAGATCCTATCTCTACAAAAAATTTAAAAAATCAGCTGGGTGTGGTGACATGCTCCTGTAGTCCCAGCTATTCCGGAGGCTGAGCTGGGACAATCACTTGAGCCCAGGCGTTCAAGGCTACAGACAACTATAATTGTGCCACTGTACTCCACCTGGGCAATGGAGTGAAACTCCATCTCTAAAAAATAAAAAAATAAAAAATTCCTTAATTGGCCATGTTATAATTGATTTTCTACTTTTTACAAATTTATTTTTCAGCATTTATTGGCAAGAAGTTTGTGATATTTAATCATTGGGTTTCATGAGGTAGAATTTCTGCCTAAGCAATTATGCATTTTATATGCATTTGAATAATTTTTCAGATTTGTCGGCTAGCATAGACTTTAAAGACAGTTCAGATGATGAAGAAGAGAGTCGCCTTTGCAATACTGTTCTTATAACAGGGCCCACAGGAGTGGGAAAAACTGCTGCAGTGTATGCTTGTGCTCAGGAGCTTGGATTTAAGGTTAGTAATAGCTACAATGGAAGAATGAATGTTAACATAATTACCCTTGAATTAAGAGAAAACATAAACCATTCTGCCTTTTTTGCTTATATCCTTCTTTTAGATATTTGAAGTGAATGCCTCTTCCCAGCGCAGTGGCAGACAAATTCTATCCCAACTGAAGGAAGCTACTCAGTCCCATCAAGTAGACAAGCAAGGTGTAAACTCACAAAAACCTTGTTTTTTTAATAGCTACAACATAGGCAAGTCACCAAGTAAGTAAATTATTTTCCCTAAGCCATCACCTTTTGAAAAAAATAAAATCTAAGAATAACTTCAATTATCAGCATTTTGTCATTCATTTTTTATCTTCTATAAATACACATGCTTTTTTACACCCTCC